AAGCTGCAGACTTTTCAGTTAGCATCCCAACGCATAAGACGCAACCTTTTGGTTTTTACAGGGCATAGAGCGAACGCAGTCCCCCACTACCACAAATCGCAGTCGAGTGTCCCACATTTGGGGAAATCGCAGGGGTCAATACACCCGCAGGGAAATGGATGAGCCTCGCCCTGGGAAAACCATCTTTGTGATCATGGTGTCTGCTCTGCCGGGTAAGTGTAACAACACATAATCTTCCAGCAAATGTTTTACTTCTTTCTCAAGTGTTAGCTGCAGAGAGGAGTTGTAAGACTTTTTTTTTCATTCTGCATTTCCAGGAAAACAGAAAAGGCGAAACAAGAGTAACTGATTCTAGTTCCGCTCACTGGATCCTCTCCCTTCCCTAACCTTTCTGCCCTGCCACAGCTTCGGCATGCATCCGTTTTATACGCATGCGTATTTGGTGATTCACGTGTGCTTTTCATAACACGAGCGTGTGGGAACAAGCCCTTGAGGAGCGGAAACACCTGGTTGGACCGAACCCCAATGACCACTACCCTGAAGGCATTTTCAAGTAAGGAAAAGCGCAGGAGTCTGTTTCTCTGAATGCCCGGCATAATTATGGGGCTAAAGATCAGACGGGAACGTCAACTTCCCGAATCGGAAGAGAAAAAAAGAAGTGGGCATGATTTGTTTGGGGAGGAGATATTGACCTTGGGAAAGCTGGAAATGAACATTTTTGTCTAGAGATAGAAATAAGAAATACATCGTTTTGTTAACATGGACTTCACATCTTCCCACTTGGTGGGTGCGAGGAGAGTACCAGCGGGATTCCAGAGATAAGGAAGTCAAGTTGGGTGGGTGGGTTGCCTGTCAATTCCTCAGGGGTGAAGCAAGTGAGAGGTGAGATGGAGGTATTTTCCCAGGCTCATTGAAAAAATGGGAGCAAAGGGGTACTTTGGAGCCCTCGTGGTGCCACCATCAAACAGTGGGCCTGCTGAGGAGAAGGTGAGAGTTGAAAGCCACCAACGGCCTCTTCTGGAGAAAAACCAGGCCACTTGTTTCCATAAAGCCCTTGGGGGCAGGTCTACTCCGTCACATGGAGTTTCAATGAGTGGACGTCCTTTCCAACATAACCTACTTGCTAGTCCTGGGCTTTCTTATTCAGAGTGCTCTTTTACGGGCAGGAAAGTGTGCTTGAGTTGGGCTCCATGTTTTTCAAGCTCCTCCGTCTTAGCCACATGTCTACAATCTTGGGTGGAGGCACTAAAGAACAGATGAAGTGTTGGGTAGGTAAAAGGTGGGTTCATGTGTGGATAACAGGTACATTTCAAGCTCTCTGAAGACAGATTGAACCTGGAATGGGCAGGAAGGGAATGGAGTTATTCAATTTTGCCACAACTATGAGATTATTTGGAGTTTGCCAATCAGTTTTTGATATTTTTTAAGATTCTTGATATTTTCCCTTAGAAGCTTCCTACTCACCTTCATGTGATGACAGGCAAATTGTTGTCACATTTCAAAATAAAGAGTCACCTTTCTCTCCCCTTCTTGGCATAAAGTGCTCAAGTATATGTTGGCAGGCTTAATGGTTTTATCTTTTAGTGATGAGTTTCAAAGTCAGTTTTCACAGATTCGAAGTTCATTTGCTAGCAATTTTTATTTTTAAAATATAAAAGCAAGCATTCTTTTGTATTGGTACCTGGAATATAAGATGGATAAACCAATTATTTCATTTTTGGATAAGAATTAATCATTTACTGAAGATAAATGGGTGCATAAGCAAATGTGGTGAAGAAAGCTGATGGTGCTTGGCTATAAAAAGATATAGTGTCTCAGGTCTTAAAGGCTTGAAGGTAAAAAAGCAGTCATCCAGCTCAGAAGCAACAAAGCCCACATGAAAGAAGCACACCAGCCTGTGTGATCACGAGGTGTCGAAGGGATCAGGTATCAGGCATCAAAGAACAAAAAATCATATCATTGTGAATGAGGGGGAGTGCACATTGGGGACCCAAAGCCCATCTGTAGGCAACTGGACACCCCCTTACTGAAGAGTAGCAGGGAGGAGATGAGCCACTCAGGGTGCAGTGTAGCAACGATGAAACATACAACTTTCCTCTAGTTCCTAAATGCTTCTCCCCCCCCTCACTATCATGATCCCAATTCTACCTTACAAATCTGGCTAGACCAGAGGATGTACACTGGTACAGATAGGAACTGGAAACACAGGGAATCCAGGACAGATGATCCCTTCAGGACCAGTGCTGAGAGAGGTGATACTGGGAGCGTGGTGGAAGGGTGTGATGGGAAGGAGGAACTGATTACAAGGATCTACATCCTTGGATATAACCTCCTTCCTGGGGGACAGACAACAGAAAAGTGGGTGAAGGGAGATGTCGGACAGTGTAAGACATGACAAAATAATAATAATTTATAAATCATCAGGGGTTCATGAGGGAGAGGGAAGCGGGGAGGGAGGAAGAAAAAATGAGGAGCTGATATCAAGGGCTCAAGTAGAAAGCAAATGTTTTGAGAATGATGATGGCAACAAATGTACAAATGTCCTTGACACAGTGGAAGGATGGATGGATTGTGATAAGAGTTGTACAAGCCCCCAATAAAATGATTATTAAAAAAAAAGAATCATTTAACAGATGAAGGGAGTGTTTGCTATGTGTTCAATACAGTGTTTACTGAGTAAATAGAAGTATAAGGTGTAGGCTTTGACTTTATGGGCTTTATAATGTCAATATTTGAACTGATAATGAACATTTGAATAAATAATAGAAGTAAATTACCTACTTTCAGAGATTTGCTCAGATCAGCTCATTAGCTCGAGAGTTTTCAAGTCTGACTTCCTTTCCCTGAGCTGTTCCTTTTATGAACGTTTCATGAAGAAGTATTCTGCACCAGTCTATCATGTTTACAACATTTAAAATTTTAGTCTGAAAGGCACTGACTGCTTAAAAAAAAAAAAAGGAAATAGTGCTCCCACGAGTAACTTTGGAGTTAGCGATTGCTATTTTAGGAATGACTCAGGCTCAGGTGGGTTTTGAAGCTGGCTCTGTAACCCTGGGATTCTTCTTTGATGTCACCACTTCCCCGCAGTGAAGCCTGTGGATGATTTATGGCAGGAGGGACAGGGAATTTCTGTCAGCTTTAATTGGCAAGCTCTTCATTTCATTTTGCTCTTTTTTTTACAAAAAAAGCTGTCACTTCAGAACTTATGAGCTAGTAATTAAGAATATAAACCCAAGTGTCTCTTGAAAATAATTTTACTAAATCTAGATTTAGCAAGAGCCATATTTCATAATAATTCATTCAACCTTATATTTCTTCCCTTGTGTAAAATCACCATTACAGATTGTGGTAGTTACATAATCTCGTGCCAACTTGAGGATATTAGGAGTGAAGGGGTGGAGTCTAGCCTGTCTGTCAATCAGGTCACAACCTGGCCTTCTCATGAGGATTCTGGGAACTTCCTTTCTTTCTCCCTGGAGTTGGGCCACACTCTGCTTCACATTCCTGTTGACAAGACACATGGAGCCATGCTGATGGCAGCCAGACCCCTGGAGATGCTTCCACCGCCACTGGATCCACAAGACTTTTCACCCACCGGCCTGTGATCTTCCTGCATTTAGCATCATTGCAAGCGGCAACAGGAGTCTGAAGAGGAATTTATAGACTGGTATCAGACATATGGGCTAATATCAGATTTATGGACTTGATCCGGAATGTTTTCTTAATATACAATTACTCTTTGATAGAAAGCCCTCTCTTACACACATATGAATGTCAATGAATTTGTTTCCTAGTTAACCCTGACTACGCACAGATTAAGTGGGCTACCCTTTCCGCACCCCTCCCCCCACACATACAAACCCCCTGCTGTCGGTTGCTATGGAGTCAGTTCCCACACTGTTGCAGGCCTTCCAAGATGCTTCTGCATCCACCCTAACTACTAGCTCCCCACGAATAGGTAAGTGCTTAATAATCTGTGTCACCCGGGGACAATGAAAACCTGAAGTTTTGAAATAGGGTACTGGCAATGGAATAAAATAATCAGAAAGATGTTGTTCTCTGTAGGTCTCCATAGCCCTGCTGTTCCTGGAATGAGCTGAAGGGCTGTTGGACCATTCTAAGCCTCAGGTTCCAGAAACTAGAGATTCTTGGACCACATCAGGAACCCACCTTTCAGGTGAGAGCATTTCCCCACCTGTAAGTACATATGCCAATGGTTTAGATGTATTTACTCATATTTAAGAAGTAAGCCTAGCTCTCCTACTTCCAGTCAATATGTCAATTGAAAAGGGATAATCATATTATTTACATGAGTATAATATTAATGTTTACTGGTACTCCAGTATAAAAAGAGAGGAATGTTTCTCATGATAGTTTCCGTGATATTTACAGCCTCTCTAAGGCCTGCGTTAGTGCTTCATAAGATATTGAAGTTCACTGAACTCACAATAAAAATGTAATAAAAAATTCAGAGTAAAAATGTGAGTCAACTAAAGGGGGGAAAATAACAAAATAACCCGATTACTCAGTGTGGAACATACTGGGTCGCTCAATACATTTCCTTATTTTCCAGGTTCCAAAGTGATTGCCGCCATAAATAAAGACACACATTGTGAAGGAAGCCCTGGGCAGGTAAACATATGAAGGCCACGCGTGACCGCATGGAGGCAGGTATGCAGAAGGGAATGAAATGGTCTGGAGATGCTGAACAAGCTTCATAACGAAGTCATGAGATAGTTGCTAGCTAATTGTATTTGCCCTCTCTTATATAGGTGGGGCAACAGGAGATATTAATCAACTTGTTCAGAGCCAAGGAGTCAAACCCAGGGAGACTGGCTCCAGAGCCCTTGTTTCTTAACCAGTGCGTCTTGCAGCCTTTCTCGATTTGAAGGTGGGAGATATGTATTTGCTACATTAAATTCATTATGGTGACCACTCCTTTAGCTGTTACTTCCTTTCAGTCAATGTTCTTCTTTGTCATCGTCATCTTCTTTTCCTTCTTCTTTTAAAAAATGTTATGCTAGGAAAACCTCTAGCATTTGTAGAAAATTTGCACCTCCTCACGAATATAAAAGAAATCATGTTATTTAGCCTTGTCCATTTCCTCCATAGGAGCCTTGTGGCTTAGTGGTTACCCCTTGGGCTGCTGAAATAGTTAAGGTTTGTTGTGCCAACCTGGCCAATAAACACATGTGGGCTTAATTGAAGGGCAGAGAGATA